GAGAAGAATGAAGGGATGGAGAGACAGGGTAGCTCTGGAAGTGAGTGTGGTAGAAGCTGGTTTCAGATTAAATGTGAGCAGTGAGTGAGGAGGAGACCTGGCCAACACTGGTGGCTGGAGTGGGAGGGTCGGTAGAAGGTGGGACCATTTACTCTAGAGTAAGTGGTAAAGGAAGGAAGGGCTTGGGTGGGAAATGATGTGTTTGGTTTTGACATATGTGTGGTGAATCTGGAACTCACTGGAAGATTCTAAGTTGACATGTTAGCAGATTCTAATTTTTCTGGTCAAATGAATGTGGGAAATACTGAGTTAAAGTAACAGAGTTAAACAAAGAAAACAGTTTTCTTCCCCTCAGGACCTCGCCTACATTTACTCTGCTCGCAGTAATATTACTGAGTGCTCACCACATCACTGCCAACACAGAGCACATGCATTAGCCCATGTTCCTCTCCACTTATCCACAAGTGGTATGTCTCGGATTTCCCCTCCCCAGCCTCCTTTTTATATAGGGTTGTCGGGAAAGTCGTGACACATTTTTGCATGAAAAATATAGAAAAAAAAGTTATGACTTTTCTGACAATCCGATTTATGAGAAGACAGGAGCAGAACAGTGGAAAAAACTTGTTCAAGGTCATACGACAACTAGTACAAAGCCAGGATTCAAACACAGAAAGATAACTCCAGAGCTTAGACTCTCAAAAAACCCACAATTCATCTTAATTGAAGGATAAGTGACAAAACTGTATGATAATTACAGTGGACTTCATACTTCATAGTGATCTGATAGACTGTGAAAGGAGTCCCTCCTATCTAGTTAATTAGCACATTCATTACCTCATATATTCGTCTTTTGTGTGTGTATGCGATCATTTTAAATTCTGCTCTTTTCAATTATATAATACAGTGCAATCAACTATAGTCACCATGTTTTAGTTTAAATCCTCAGATCTTATTCATCTAATAGTTGAAAGTTTGTACCTTTTTATCAGCCTCTGCCTGTCCCCACTCCCAGCTCTGGCTACCACTTTCTACTTTGTTTCTTTGACTTGTTTGTTTTCAGTACAGTTTTGTGATAAATAAGGTATCTTTTTCTTGGGATTATGCCCCCAAGGTTCATCAGTGTTGTCACAAATGGCAGAATTCCCTTCTTTCTCATGGCTGAATAGTGACTCACGTGTGTATGTATATGTGTATATATAGCGAGAACTATATATGTACACACACCCACACCTTTTTTATCATCTGATAGGCACTTAGGTCATTTCTCTACCTTGACTAAAAATAGTGAGGCAATGGACATGGGAGTGTAGATATCTCTGATACCCTGTTTACCTTTTCTCTGTATGTATACTCAGAAGTGACATTGCTGGCACATAGTTCTATTTTAATTTTTTTTTGTGGCACTTACATACTGTTTTCCATAGTAACTGCACCAGTTGACATTCCCACCAAAAATATACAAGGGTTCTTTTTTCGCCACACCCTCACCAACATTTGCTAGATGTTTGAATATCTTTGGGAAATTTCTTGTCTTTTTGATGACAACCACAACTTTTTGATGAGTGCTTGCAATATTAACCTTGATGGTAATGTCCCAAAGGGTGATAGTGTTCATAGTTTCCCCAACTAATCTGATTGTAGAACATTCTCTTTAAGGAGCAACTGGCAGCACCTTAAGGAACACTAGTGACTGCAGAGACATTTCAAACAATGCTGCAGCAGTGTATTAGAGCTAGGGATATAATGTAGACTCCAAGGGAGAGGGTACCAAGTGATAAAAGCAGAGTGTTAAGGCCGTGGCAAAAAGCGGTGAGGAGACTGTAGAGAACACAGGCAGGTAATTTATAGAATCACTGGATGAAAACCAAGCGTCTCAGAGGTCAAGTGGAAAGTAGGACAGCAGAGAACACAGACTTTAGCAATATGGTGGTCATTGGAATTTTGGAGAGAACCATTTTAGGGGGCTGGTAGGGGCAGTTAACTCCTGAACTATAAGGACTAACACTGACCGAGTCACCCTTCTATGAATTCCAGATATTGAAATTACCCAAAATGATGGCAAGACAAAGGGCACCCTTAGAAATGTAACCAGAGGCTCATGGATGATGATTGCAAAGAGAAGAAAGATTGGGATGTGTAGATGGGAAGAACATTAGGATTTGCTGTGTGTGCCTTTGTGTGTGTTGACTAAGTTTCCATTCATCTACCCTACGTCACAGGGATGACTCTTGACGGGTTTTAAATAGAGCAAATGGGCAGCCTCCCAAGGGTATTCAGAGGCATCAGGTACATTTCTAGTAAGAGTGATTTTGTAACGGCCATGCCAGAAAGTGAAAGCCCTCATCTGGAAAATTTCATGTCATTCTTAGGATATTTTCTTAAAACGCATGGAAGGTTCTATTAAACGTTATCCTCAACAAAGGGAAGATAATAGGTCACATGGGAGATTAATGCCATAATGTTTTACATATTTTGGAAGTCCATGTGCTGCTTAATGTGCACTGAAAATATTTCAGGGGGTAACAGTAGATGTAGAATACAGTAAATTTAAATATTTACTGTATTTTATATCTGACCAAAATTGTTATTCATCACAAATGATTTTTTTTTCTTGGCTTCTTAATTACAATACAATCTTAGGAGATCTGGCACGTAATTAGGTGATCATAAATTTACCAAAACTTTTGTGAAAGGAGTACTTTAACAACCCTACAAGGACAACAGGCTTCTAAAGGGACTATCCAAGGCAAATGGGGACAAATGATTACCCTATACATGATGACACTGTGGTTTCAGCAACTGCAATTCAGACAATAATGAAGATTCTTCTTCCCAAGTTAAGAAGTGAGAGTCTCTCTGGGCCTCTTATATCCCCTTTATTCAGGCAACAGGTGATTTGGAAAAAGCTTTGGAGTCATACATGACCTTAGGCAAGTTACCTAATTCTCTGAGATGTTTCTTCATCTCCTCTTATGAATATCTCATGATCATGTACTTAGAAGTATCAAGCCCTTGCCAGTCCATTGAAAATCTTCATGTCTGCTTTCCCATGATCTTTCTCAATAGATAAAGGAAAAAGTAACTCTGCATATAACATGCAGGTGAATGGTAAATGGTGCTTTCAGGGAAAGATATTTAGTTTTAGGTGGACAGCTTATTGTCAGCCCACAGACTGAAATGAAGCCGCAGAATACTAGAACTGGAAGGGGCCTGAACAATTTTCCAGGAAAAAGTCCAGGACGCATATAAAACTGAAGTGACAAATTTAAGTACATGCAGAGAATTCTGACTCATCTGAGAACTGAATCCAGAACCCAAGAATGCCCAGTCACTACTCTCCCTTTACATCACAGTGGCCACCCTTACCCTCAGTGTTCTCTCCCCTAAGCTCAATTTCAGGGAACATCACACCTTCAAGAGCCAGAATGGCTAAGCAGATTAACATCAGAAGGTCAATCAGAAGCCGCCCTGCCCCGCCCCACCCCAGCAGCAGGATGATACTGGTTAACAAGCAACAAATATGTGGCCTCCATAAACACCTGACAATTTTCTGTGTACCTGAATGGTGGTATCATCCTTTCAGATCCAGTGTCCCCTTTAGTACAAGATCTTTTAATGTTCTCACCACTGTCCTGACATGGGACTTAGACAAAAGAATCTACTTACACATAACTCTAAAAGAAAAATGTTTTAAATGGTAATATAAGGAAAAATTAGAGTATGATTTATAATTACTACTTCTTTCCAAAGGTTTTTCTCAAGCATGATTCACTCAGAGGCAGAAAGTAGGAGTGCACTATGTGAACACCATGAGGGGTGGGGGGAAAAGACAGGCATCAAGGACACCCCCCAAAAGACGCAGGAACCTGTGCTACTAACTAGGCCACTGAACACCTTAGGCAGAGAGGATGGCAGTGATGGGATAGTCTGAGCTGGTAAACCACTCTTGTCAAAATTCTTTCAATACTAGATTATGTTATTTATATATGGAATATACAGAAACCAAACTAAAGGTCAGATAAAGCCAAATTAAGAACTAAGTCTAGAAAGCTAAGTATAGAATGGAGGCTTACCGGAGAGTGAGGGGGAGGGGCAAGAGCATGATGGGGAGGGAGCACAATGGATTATGGTGGTGGATCATAGGGGTTTTGTTGGTGGTATGATAACAATACTTTAGGGGGGCGGTCCTATACTATCCTAAAAGATATTCCATGTGCCCTTGATAAGAATGTGTATTCTGCTATTGTTGGATAGATGTTCTCTTTGTGTCTGTTAGGTCCATTTGGTTTATAGTGTTTTTCCATACTGATGATCATTCCATTGTTGAGAGTGGGATATTTAATTTCCCACAGTAGATTCTATAATGTTTCCTTAGTACTTTATTGGATGACAGTGTTGCCTTCTGAAAGACACCACTCATAATTATGCCCTAATTATGATTGTCATTTTATTCTTGCAGAGATGACCACAATTGCACCTAAAAATGTGGTAAATATGACCAATCACTTGAGGTGTGTTTAACTGACTGTTAAAAGTCAGGATTCCAGGGCCTCCCCAGTGGCGCAGCGGTTGAGTGCTGGGTTGTGAGGCTGCCCGCAGCCTCTGCAGCTCCGGTTCGACCCCCGGCTGCTCCCCGGCCACCGGAGAAGGGTCCCACGTGGCGCGCAGACCTCTCCTGCCGCCCGCTGCTCCCCTCAGCAGTGTCCTTCGGTCCTTCTGCCTGCTCTGCTCCCCGCTCTGGCTCTGGTGAATTCTCTCACCCTCCCGCGCTTCTGACTGTACCCAGTGCTTGTATAAATAAATAAATAAATCTTAAAAAAACAAAAAACTAAAAAACTCTACTGTTAAAAAAAATGTCTTTAAAAAAAAAAAAAAAAGTCAGGATTCCACAGAACAATTTCACGGATTCCTTGAATTCCATTCTTTTTGTTTCCAGCTACAGATCTTTATGGAAAAAGAAAACCTAAAATCTAAAATGACCGAAAAATGTCTCTTTATAGGTGTTCCACTGCCCAGGGAAGAAATTTCTGCTCCACTGATCTCCAGCTCACCAGTGAAAGAAGCCCGGGAGTATGAAGACCCCCCAAGTGAAGAAGATGATAAAATCAAAGAGGAGCCCTTGACCATCTCTGAACTGGCCTACAATCCAAGCGCCAGCCTGCTCCCCACCCCTGTGGATGATGATGAGATTGACATGCTCTTTGACTGCTCATCTAGGCTGGAATTGGAAAGAGAAGACACAGATTCCTTTGAAGAACTGGAAGCAGATGAACATGCCTTTTTGCTGGCTGAAGAAGAGGAGCTGAAGGAGGCTCACCGAGCTTTGACATGGAGCTATGACATTCTGAGCGGCCATATTCGGGTGAACCCACTGGTCAAGAGTTTCTCCAGGCTCCTTGTGGTGGGCCTGGGGCTGCTGCTCTTTGTATTCCCCCTGCTCCTCCTCCTTTTGGAGTCAGGTATTGATCTCTCCTTCTTATGTGAAATCCGCCAGACGCCAGAGTTTGAGCAGTTTCACTATGAATACTACTGTCCTCTGAAGGAGTGGGTGGCTGGCAAAGTCAATCTTATTCTCTACATGCTGGGTTGCTCATAAATTTCCTATCTCAGATGACTAAGGGCTATATTCAATACTAGTGATTAGGTTTTTTTCAGCAAATGCCTGGTTCTGAATGGTCCTGGGGCCATCAACAGGCATTCTTTATTCACAACTGATTATTCAAACCTTTAAGTTTGCTTTCCATAATTCACTGCACTTAAATAAGTTAAAATCAAATACAGTTATGTTAGTTATAGGTCAAGAAGATGACCTCTAAGTAACCAAAAATGTTTTTTTTTATTATAGTACAGACTAACTCTTTATTATCACAATACATAACACATTGAGCTGAATTAGATTTCCCATTTTTTTAACAGCACCATTAGAAGCTATAGGTTCTTAGGAAAAACCCAAGAGAACATTTTTGAATATAATCCCTAGGATTATGTCCTCTAACCAATGCCTATACAACTAAATTTATGCTGGGTTTTTGTTTTTGTTTTTTTAAAAATATTTTTTATGTGTTCAAAATATTTTGGTAAATTTTTAGCAAAAAAAGAAGCCTCCTGGAGTTATTTAAGTGTACAGATCATAAGACTAATGCACTAGGGTATGTTTGGGAATTTTTTAATGTTTTGGCACTGGTTTGTTTTTAAAAATATTTTTGGCTGAACAATTCCATAATTTCTTGTTTCCTGCATTTGAGATAGAAAATAAGTAGAAAGACACTAGCATGTAAGTCACCCAGACGGATGATGGAACTGGAGGATGTGGAAATTGAGAGCATCAAGTGGACACAGAGTGGTCATTTTCAAAGTATTTGGACAAGATGACTTTTTTACTTTCATTTGCATTTTGTCCATATATTTTGGCTAGGTAAATGGAAGTGAAATTTTAAAGAAAACAGTTAAAGATATGCAGTTAATTGTATCACCCAACAGTGGAAGCAGACGGGAACTGGACAAATGGCAAGGAGCAAAAATAGAGTCCTGGTGAGGCTGGTAGCCAAGTGATGGTAGGCAGGTGCTCTACTTCATGAACAAAATTGTGATGCAAGGTACTGGATGATGAAAAGCAAGCTATTTGAGTGCACTAACTGTCAGAGTTGACATTAATATGTTTAAGTGGACCCAAACAAGAGTGGAGAATCTTGAAGGCATACTTTTTTGGGTCCCTCATGCCATTCATTGTGATTCTGTAGAAGCAGCCTCAAAGAAGTGTATATATGAGAGAAAGAATGAATAGGATAGATTTTGGCTTTTTGACAAAAGCCAATGCTCTTCCCTATGGTAGTCATTATACTCCTTTTCTTTCCTGATTTTCTTAAGATCTTAACTCATTCATAATTGAAGAGCCCATTAAGAAAGTGGAGGGGACTCAGATGACACACCATTTCAGTTTGAAGTTGCATAATGGCTCCCTAACCAGACAACAGGGGAAAGAAATACTCTCATACCTTCCATTATACCATTAAATCCATGGCAGAAAACACTCTGATGCCTTCCTCTGCAGTGTCCTTACCAATACTATGACTTCAGTGAGAAAGAAGAGAGTATAGAGCTCAGGGTATAGAGCACTGAGGTTCTCCATGGATTGAAAATGTTTCATTGCCTTCATTTACAAAGAGGTTGGGCCACCTGTAATCGCTCCCTAATTCTAGTAGATACTCCTACTCCATCATTAGCATAATTTACAAATTGGCCATTCTAATCCTACTTATTCAGTGGAGCTCTGATTGCTTATTGGATATTTAATTTTGAAAATAAGTTTTAAAAGGCAGCTCATAAAGCCTTCAATTGAGTAAAATATAAAATATAGTTGCTATTAGGCTTATAGGGTGTTCTTTCTCATGTGCTTTCAGTGACTCATTTTGCTTTTTTAAATAAACATATTTTCTATAGTTTTGGGGGGAAGTTTGCAAATGGTCAGCTTTGAACTTGCAGGTTTTTCCCCCGACCTTTTTTTTTTCTATATGACTTCTAAGTCAGACGTCTGACATAACAGTGCTCTAGTGTAGTCTACATGAAATAAACCCTTCTTCTAAAAATCATGCTTCATATCCCTCCCTTTTTAAGTTCTAATAATGACAAGTTATTTATCCCTCACCCTTTAAAATAATATATAATAATATTTTTAACTTATGGAAGTAAATGTATTGTCCATTGTAAAACATTTGAAAATATTGACAATATCACTTATAGTTCAACCATGCAGATTTATATTAAGAAGTAATATTTTAACATTTTCATTTAAAATCTTTTCTCTTAGTCAAAAAATTTACTGTTTAATAGAAATGTCTTTAAGTGAAGGAAATGACAGGGCAGGGTCTGCTGAATTTAAACAATAGCTACCAAATATAAAACTGGGATCCTGGAATGCCATCTTATCAGGATAGAATCAGAATCTTTTAGAAATATCCATCTAGGTTTTAGTAGGAGAGAATCATCAGTTACCTTAATCAAATGAGGAAAAGACTGCTTCCAAAGATGAAGAGTATATAATGTAGTGAGACAGAGCTCAAAGCAAGTGTGTGAGTATATGTATATTCTATATTATTGGTGTATATGTGTTTATACATGAATCTGTATATATGTGTTGTAGGTGTGCACACACAACTGATAGGCCCTTATATATAGTTGTGTTTATTTCTTCCCATCTGAGGAATACGTAACATTATTATTGTCCCTTTCCCCTCTCAGCTATCATGGTGGATATAGTCCACCAACTGAAAGGTTGAAATTTCCATTAAAACCACTGTGTGTACCTTTGTGGTTATATATACACACATATATGGCAAATACATATACACACACAATCTTGCCTTTAGTGCTAATACAAGTTGGATTATGAAACAAAATGTAGGTAAAGTATTGTGTATTTCTGTCTGTGCTTGGAACATATTATAAAGTGTTATGTATTTGGAATATATCTTGTGGTTTGTCTAACATTTATAGAGACAACTTTGGGGAGAATTCAAAATGAGTTGATTTCATTGAAATACCAGAGATCTGGGGGCCATGTTACCTGTGATTGGAGCCTTACCTTTGTATAGTAAAATTTGCATTTCTATGTCAACATCCAGTTTGTTCTATATGTTAATTTGGTGGCAGGAATCCCTAATAAAAATACTCTGGGGAAAAAAATGTTTCTGCACTGATTTAGTTTTATTTAAAGTTAAGTTGCATAAATTGCCTGTTGGAAACTACAGAAAGGTGCCATCTAGGGCCACGAAATGAGGTCACCCTTGAGTGGTGATAGTATGAAAAAAATCACAGGTAATGGATGGGATTAACCCTTTGCAGAAGCCATCCAGGGTAAAAGCAGGGATATGTAGTGCATTGGAAATGTACCCAAACACAAAAGACAGTTATAGTCTAATGGCATTTAAATAATTAGAGAAACAAAAAAACATAGGAAAAATAGAAGTGGGGCTGTTCTGCATGACAAGGAGGAAGGGTATCAGAATGCTAGAAATAAGTATGTCATCACTTTCAGCCAGAAAAGGGTGCCTTCCTGTGCGCTACCTTAGACTCAACTCTGTGACATTGCTATTAAATTTCTATCTGTTCATGGGTCCTGGATATTTACTATTCTATTCCTCTCTCTTCCATTGAGCATGGCCTGAAAGGTCCTCTGATTTAGTTTGCTACTAAGCTAACAACTTCAGATTTGATAGCTAAATCAGAAACTGTTACTGTGAGTAAAGCACAAGAGGCTCTCTTTACTACAGGAATACCACTGGTGTCCAGTGAACTTGGATCCCAGCAGTGATGGCCTCTTAAGGCTATCGCATTCTTTTTTTTAAATTTGATTGAGATGTAATTGACATATAACATTGCATAAATTTTAGGTATATAATGTTTTGATATATATTGCAAGATGATTACCATAGTAGGTTTAGTCAACATTCATCATCTCACACAGTTATAATTTTTTTTCTTGTGATGAGAACTTTAAGATCTACTCTCAGCAATGTTCAGATACACAACACAGTATCATTAACTAGAATCACCATGTTGTACCTATACCTCTACAACTTATTTATCTTATAGCTCTAAGTTTGTACTTTTTGACCACCTTCACCCATTTCACCCACCTGGGGGCCAGGGGAGTAGACAAAGTCTGTAAAGTGAGAACTCAGTCCTCGGAGGCCTAGCTGCTAGAGTGAAGGTAAGGAAAGGAATTTAGTTGTTAGCATCAGGTGTGAGGTGACTGTGGACCTACAGTCCTAACTCAAGCAGCTCTGGCCAGCTCCTTTGTTTGGGTCAGTGTCTGCAAACTGAAGGCCCACATAAAATAGCCCTTGGTGATCTATTTTTTGAGTAGTCCAAGCCCCTGATCTAACCTAGTCTCTTGGGAGAAACTTTTTTCCTTATTCCTACATTCTTGCTCACTCAAGAGGGGGAAGATCTCCTAACCATGCTCCAGCTTGGAAGGAAAGTGTTGGGGAGAAACTTCCACCTCTAGGGTGACCTTGGGATGGTTGCAGTGATGAACTTGAGACTCTTTGGGCCATCTTTCTCTACAAGGTATAGATAAGGTGCTAAAGGTCCCTGCTTACTTGTCCTCCTGCTTCTTCTCTCTCTCTCTCTTTCTCTTGGACCTGATTTTGGGCCTCCAGTCTCCATGCAGTAATAGACCCAGCAGGACCTGCCCATGGTGGGCCCAGCCAGGACTCCGCTCTCCACATTCCAGCCTCAGTCTGTGACGGGGGGTAAGTTTGGCGAGCCTTGTCCAGTAGGCTCAGCATTCATCACTTCTGAGAGGATGAAAGAAACCTCACTTGGGCCTGATTCCCAGCTGTGTTCTCCAATCCATTAATAAAGCTGATTTTAATCCTCTTCTGCCTGTCATGTCTATTATCCATGGGGAACTGGGTGGAGGTGGGGAGCAGAGTGGTGCTAAATGTTTAGTATCTCTGTAACATCCAATGTTGCCAGCAAGGACAGTGTGAAGGCTGCATTGACAAACACAAGCACCAAGCGGTGTCTGCCACTGCTGCTGACTGTGATGAGCCTTGCGAATGGGTGAAGGAACTTGAGACTTAAAGAACAGGATTGATTGGAACGACCCATACCTTCTCTTTACCTGTAGCTGATGTTTATCCAAAGTAACAATTTTGAAAGAGGGCTGAGGACACCTTCATTGTTAGAGAAAAAACTCTTAGTAGAACAAAGAAGAGCTTTTAAAAGTAAATTCCAAATTACCAAAAAACTTAAACCTTTTCAGTAAAGTTATTCTTTAAGAATCATCAGCTCTATATTTACTAATATTTATATTTCAAAATAGTTTATCACAAATTTGTCTTAATATTGTTACAGCCTATAAAACCCACTTAACACCAATAAGTTGTATTAACAGAAAAAGAGCCTTCACAAAATTAAAAATTAACAAAATTATTTTTGATCTTGCTTTGTCGAGAGCAACTGATGTCCTTAAATAATATCAGTTGAAAATGAAGTGGCTGAAATAGAGTCCTCCAACATCAATGATCAAGAAATTTATATATTGATATGGTAAATTATTATAAATGGTAGTATACAAAATTATGGTAACAATTTTTTTTATAATTTTTAATATTAGATGTTGTAACAAAAATGTTACTCATGTATGGCTATTGTCCCATTATATTTTATAAGTAATAAAATATTTTAGTAACAAAGAGTCTATAAAAGATTTCCTCTTTATAAAGATAAGAAGTGAGGAAGTAAACTTTTTTGCTAACTTTGGTGTTTAGATTGGGTTAAACAAAATTCCAGTAAGTGAAAGAGATAAAATTAAATAAATAAAATTCAGCATCTGGGACTTGGTAAAGACTTTGTATACTTCTGTGTAACAGAGAGTGAATGACTCTAATATCAGTGTGACAAATTCTTTTGCATGTCAGGTCATTACTAATTATTTTCTTTTTGATAAACTGAAAGAATAACTAGCTGAATCATTAGATGACATATCACGGAAGTTATATTTGTTAGAGAAGCACTTCCAGAGTGCTGGAGTAAAGAACTGAAAATTTATTCCTCTATGAAAGCAATGAGAACACTGGTTTAAAAAAATGTGAATGTCAACTTTCCCAGACCTCTTGAAATTAACCAAAGGCCCGCAAATAACTGAGAAAAATTATTCAGTGAAAATCTGTTGGATCTTGGTATGCTTTTTGAGCTTTGTGGCATGGTAACTGGCCCTGTTCCCACTTCCCTCTCATCAGCCCTATAATACTGAAAATCAACAACCTCAAAACTATGACAGCTGTAGAAAACAACTGTATCATAACCACTGGAGGGGACAGATGGGTTTGAAGTCCCTCAACAGCCACAGCCTCAGAGAATTACTATTTGACCTATATGGCAGTTCTCTGAAAAGCTTCATTCTCATAATTCTCTTATTCAAAGCTCACTCCATGCTCCTAGCTTTCCTAGAGCAATTCTCAACAAGTATTAGTGGTTGCCTGTGGTGGTGATATAAGCTGAGTCTAGAAAGAATTGAACGAGGAGGAGTCACTGAGCAAAATAGTGAAATAGAGAGTCCCAGGCCCTTCTCCCACAGAGATACCAAATTAACAACATCTTATCCAAACAACTATGTGAGAAATCAAGAAACCAATTAGGTGGTACCTGTATTGAAGCTCAGCAGGAAAATTTGTGATGCTGTCTTATCAAAGCCCATCCTGCCAGTATAGCACGGCACGACTGGACGAAAACTCCCAACTCCTATCTTCTTCCTGAAGAAGGAAGGAGAAGAATAGAAAGTAAGTCCAGTATTTTCACTTTTCCTGTAACTTCTAATGGGACTAGTTTCACTCTTGCCTGAATCTAAGTGCTGACAAAAACAGGGAACCAGGTTGGGAGCAGTTGAGAACAAAGGCCAGGTGTAACGGAGTACATTATCATAGACAGACATTAAGTGGAAGTCTGGGACAACTTACAACAGTAGAGAGGCTGCAATACCACAGAAATACACCAGGGGAGCAAATCAGTAGAAATTGGCAAATTAAGGTATTACACTTAAGTTTAAAGAGAACAAACACATCCCAGAAAAGGTTTGAGAGCTGTCCCTAATCTCTAGCCACATTGATAGGAGAAAATCCTCCCTCTATGAAATATAACTGCAAAGACTGGAAGAGGTGCCTGATTTTTCAAATGCTGAAACCCACCAGAAGATAAGGCATTAAAAGAAATAGAGAAACATGGCATCATCAAAGAAACAAATGAAATGTCCAGACACAGGGCTAAAGAAGGGGAGATTTACAAGAGAAAGACTTTTAATTTCAAGAGAAAGACGTTGAAAAAACCATTATAGGGATGCTCAATGATTAAAATACAGCACGGGTGGACAAAATCAGGAAAACAATGAACAAAATGAGAATAACAAAGATATAAAAATTATGAAAAAACAAAATGGAAATTCTGGAACTGAAAAATTCAATAACTGAATTAAAAAAATAACTTGAGATACTCAACAGAAAACTAGGCAAAAGTAAGATTTAGTGAACTCAAAGATAAGACATACAAAATGACCAAGGCCAGGAGCAAAAGAAAAAGAATGAAGAGAACTGAAGATAGATTGCTATATATGGGACATCGTAACACAGAACAGCATATGCATTGAGAGTCCCAAAAAGAGAAGGAAGATAAAGGAGCAGAGAGCCTATTTGAAAAGGAATGGATGAAAACTTCTCAAACGTGAGGACAGAAATTCAAGAAGTTGAAAGACTCCCAACTAGAATCTGAAGTGAGCTATACTGGGACACAATGTAATCAAACTTTCAAAAATCACAAAGAAGCATGATAGCAGCAAGAGAAAATACACTCAGCATGTACCAGGCAGCTCACATTAGATTATATGCAGAGAGGGAAAGAGTACATGATGTGGTCAGGGTAGTTGATCAAGGACACTCTATCCAGAAAGACTGTATTTGAAAAACAAAAAAGAAAGACTTTACAGATAATAAAAGCTGAGGGGATTTATTACCAGTAGGCTTGCCTTCCAAGATATGGGAAGGATTTCATTTCAAGTTCAAGTGAAAAGGTAACAAAGGGCAACATGGAATCATAGAGATAAAGCCCTGTAGTATTTTAATGTAGGCCTATGAACTGCTTTTAAATTTGCTACATAATTTAAAAAACAAAAGCATAAGGAGTAATTGTAAATATGTTATTGGATATACAATATAAAGAGGTTATCTGCATTATAAACAATATAAGAGGGGTGGGGAAAGATGAAAAGGAATAGTTTTTAAATGTGATTAAAGTTAATAGTTTAAAATAGTTTATTAGCACAGAGGTGAGCAGCAGCCATTCGGGAGAGCATCCCTCAGTCAGCACCCGACTGTTAGAGGCCAGTGACCCCCTACATACCCCTCCCAAAACTTTGAGTAAAGCCAAGAAGGCAGAGGGACAGCCTATCTCCCATAGGAAGAAGTGACTGCCTGGGAGAGTAACCTTAACCCCTACACACTGTGCTGACCTTGCCCAGCACTATAGGTTAAGACACACACAAAGAGGAAGAGACCAGCAGCATACAGAGACTTGGTGACCTCCAGGCCCATCCACAGCATCATAGTCCTTGTGAAGTCTGGCATGACAGTGCCAGACCGAGCCTGGCCACCAGTCCCTGACATCCCAGTAGGAGCACCCCGAAGAGATACCCACCAGTACCAGTGGAGCAGTGGCCCTGCACATAGAACAAATTCGAAAACATATAATAGGGAGAAGGAAAAATACAAATACCCAAGCAAGGCCTCTGGGAGATGACACACCACAAAAAGAAAATCAGTCCCCAGAACTCAACACCACCAGCATGGAAGAACTTCTCTGCCTGACATGACTAAAAAACATAAAGAAGAAGGAAAGGAAAAGAATAATATGAAAAATATAATCAATGAACTGAAGAATGAAAATGAGTCTTTAAAGAAGGAAATAAAGGAAATGCAAAATGTTAAAAGATTAATTGAGGAGCTAAAGAATTCTTTGAAAAGCAATGAAAACAGAATTGATGAAATGGAAGAATGAATCAGTACTCTCAAAAATACAGACATAAAAAAAACACAAACGAAAAGGAAAGAGATGGACAAAGGAAAAAGAATAAACACTTGAGAATATCTGACACCATGAGGAAATGAAATATAAGAGTCACAGGACTCCCAGAAGGTGAAGAGAGACAAAGGAACATATTCAAGGAAATAACTGAAGAGAACTTCTCAAGCATGAAGAAGGAAATGAAAATAGAAATACAGGAAGCTAGAACAACAACAAATTACCACAACTAAGGAAAGGAGAACTACAGCAAGATACATAATAGTGAAGTTTCCAAAAGTCCAAGACAAAGGAAAAACAACAAAACTGACAAGGGAAGAAAGAAATAACTTATAAAGGAAAACAGATTAGGCTGACATGAGACTGAAGAAACACTCATCACCCAAAGCAAGGAAAATGAAGGGCTGGGACTACGTCAAACTAAAAAGCTTCTGTATAGCAAGAGACAATAACCAAGAGGAAGCCACACCCCACAGATTGGGAGGAAATATTTGTACTTCACAAACCTAATAAGGGGCTGATATCAGAGATCTACAAAGCATTTACACAACTCAACAAAAACAAAATAAAGAATCTAGTCAAAAAGTGGGAAGACAGCAGAAGGCTCACCGAGAAGACAGAGGTAAGCTGGGAGGCTTGCCCATGCTGGGCACCTTCTAGCCTGCAGTTCCAGCCCAGAGGGGAGCAGCACCCACCACTGGGGCAGACCGGGCATGCAGGGGAGCACGTTCCCACATCGCCATTTTGCAGCAGGGACCTTTCTTTGCTGGAGACTTGTGAACCCAGCAGAAGTTCCCCAGAGGAGCCAGTGGTGAGCTGGGAAGGTCGCCCAAGATGCCGGCCAGTACCAGCAACACAGTGTCACAAGGAATACGGCAAATTAGAAAACAGGCAGTAGGGAGTAGAAAAACCACATGCAACCCAGCAACTCCTCAGCAAAAAAGCACACCGCAAAAAGAAAACCATCTACCAGATTGCAACGACAGTAACTTGGAAGAACTTCTGAGCCTTCCAGATAGAGAATTTAAAATTGCTGTGATTAAAAAACTGTGATTAAAAAGCAGAATAGATGAAATGGAAGAACGAATAAGTACTCTTGAAGACACAGAAATAAAAAGAACTAAAACAGAAAAGGAAGGAGAAGTACGAAGGAAAAAGACCGAAGAAAGACTTGGGGAACTATCTGACTCCATGAAGAAAGGAAATATAAGAGTTATAGGAACCCCAGAAGGAGAGGAGAGAGATGTAGGAACAGAGAAAATATTCATGGATATAATTGAAGAGAACTTCCCAAACGCGAAGAAGGAGCTGAAAATTGATATACAAGAAGCAAGAAGAACACCAAACTTCCATGACGAAAGGAAAAATACAGCAAGACACATAATAATAAAGCTCCCAAGAATCCAAGACAAGGAAAAAATAATGAAACTAACAAGAGGGAAGAAACAGATAACATTCAAAGGGAAACCAATCAGACTGACATCAGACTTCTCTGAAGAAACACTACGGGCAAGGAGAGAGTGGAGGGACATAGTCAACAGACGCCATCCAAGAATTCTCTATCCCGCAAATCTCTCCTTCCTCTTTGAAGAAAGAATAAGGACCTTCCCAGACAAACAGAAACTCTGGAATTTTATTACGACTAAACCCCCACTCCAAAAAATACTACAAGGAGTCCTAAAGCCAGAACCTCAGAGGGACGAATAACAACAAAAGAAGGCCAAAGAAAGTTATTAAAAGAATAAATAAATAAAATCAAAGGAAAGACAAACACAATGGCAAATAGAGATGCTAACATATCAATACTAACTCTAAATGTAAATGGACTAAACTCTTCAATAAAAAGACACAGAGTTGCAGGCTGGATTAAGAAACAAAACCCAACCTTTTGCTGTCTCCAGGAAACACATTTAGCTGCAAAAGATAAAAATAGACTCAAAGTTAAAGGATGGAAAACAATTCTACAAGCAAATGGACCAAAAAAGAAGGCAGGAACAGCTATACTCATATCAGATAAAACAGATTTCAAACTTAAAAAGATAAAAAGAGACCCCAGTGGTCATTACATTATGATCAAGGGGACAATACTTCAAGAAGAAATAACACTCATTAACATATATTCACCAAACGAAAGAGCACCAAAATATATCAGACAACTATTGGCATCTCTGAAAACAGACATCAGAGAAAACACATACGTAGTGGGAGACTTCAACACGCCACTATCAACAATGGATAGATCAACAAGACAAAAAATAAGTAAAGACACTAAAGCTCTAAATAAGGATCTAGAGTGCTTGGGCTTAACAGACATATATAGAACACTAAACCCAAAAAAATCTGAGTATACATTTTTCTCAAGCGCACACGGATCATTCTCTAGGATCGATCATATACTGGGGCACAAGACAAACATCAACAGATACATCAAGATTGAAATCATACCAACCATCTTTACTGACCATGAAGGCATCAAACTAGAAATAAACCATAAAAAGAAGGCAAGGTACTCTCCTACCTCGTGGAGATTGACACCTACACTACTGGAAGTCCACTGGACTAACGAGGAGATAAAAGAAGAAATTAAAAATTCTTTGAATTGAATGACAAGGAGGACACCAATTTCCTAAATGTATGGGATGCAGCAAAAGCAGTAATAAGAGGAAAATATATAGCAATAGATGCT